ATATATATATATATATATATATATATATATATATATATATATATATATATATATATATATATATATATATATATATATATAATATATATATATATATATATATATATATATATATATATATATATATACCATATTCATATTCATATACATATAGAAATACCTATACTATACATATGCATACATATATATATACATATATACATATATACATATATACATATATACATATATACATATATACATATATATATATACATATATATATATATATATATATATATATATATATATATATATATATATATATATATATATATATATATACGTTTATATATGTTATATGTATGTGTGTATGTATATATATGATATGGTATAGGTTGCAGATGTTACTATTTGCCTAGTGAGGTGTAGATGTGAATTTTAAGTCAGGGAATTGGATTTTGAAATACCAGCTCTTCATTCACTGAAAGCATATATATAACTAAAGTTTATGTATTTGTGAGATATTCTTAAACAAGCCTTAGACAGTATTTCAGTAAGATAGAAGAAGGAAAAGGAGAAATCTTTCACGAGTTGAGAAGGGAAGATATTTAAAGTTGTTTATAACTATTATTGTTTATGGAGATTCTTTGAGATCCAAGGATTTTATTCCACTCTGCTAATTTGAAATTGTTATTAGTTATATCTTTGATTCATTGTGCATTTTATTGTGATGTAGAGACATATTTTTTCTCTCTGTTTTATCCAGTTTGATTACCTATGTATCTGAACATTGTCATTGTCATGTTTGAAATGAAAGGTATTTTCAATTCATTATTTATTTTGAAATGTGTAGTTGCATATCATTCCATGGCAGTGCCACCGTTATGTATCCTGTGGCAACTGTGTATTCCCCTCCCCATGTAGAGTCAGGCCGACGACGCTTATATTGAAGTTTTTTAGGTGTTTCGTGTAAGCTCCTTCCCACCAGATCTGCATGAGGCAGAAGCTTGTTGTTGGCAACTGTCAAAATATTCTTGGTTATTTTGTTAAAAGTCACAGTACCAGTGATTTAGGTATTATGCTGGTCAGTTGCTGCTTCACGCTTGAGCCCCATTGTTTGTGGTCTGATTCAATGTATCAAGCCTTATTTGCCAAGGACACAACCTCGGCTAATGAAATTGGATCTTGACCTTGCCATCATCACCTTTTCAAAAGAAACGGAAAAAAGAAAATGGGGGACAAAAATGGAATCGGCTTGAAATTGTCAATCATGCCGCATGTTGTGTTTGCCAACAATAGTACGTGCACTCACAGTTCTCCCAATATGTGCACTAGACTCTCCTGCATTAATGTGTATTCCAGTTGTGCACACTCTTGTTTTGGGATCATATTTGTCTGAGTAACACTCATCCTTATGTATATACATAATACAGCTGCAGATGTACGACAACCAATTTTGTTCTACATTGAAAATCCGCCAGCATAGTTAGCTTCCATTGATGTTATTCAATGAAACTGTTTGCATCTTACCTAAAGTACCATTAAAATCATCTGGATTATTATAAATCTTTAAGCCAGGAATCTAATGTTCTTCTGGTTTTTGTGTGTGTTATCAGTGTCTGTTTTTGTTATGGTTGTAATTGTGATAAAAATATTGATTTCTATTTTGCCTTGTTATGAAAAAGTCCAATTTCTTATGTACTGCATTTAAATAGTGAATCCCAGATAGCAAAGGAGATGAACGCAATCAAAGGTAAATTTTGACAGTTGCAAGATCAACAAGTATCAGCAATCTTAAGTATATTCCAGTGGTTCCTTGTAATGTTAATTAAGAATTTGGACTTCTGTGTCATAGAGTAGCAGATATCTATTACAGTTGACAAGTGTTCTCTTGAAAATAAGTATGTAGCTTAAGACTTTATTTATCAAATAAATGACCTGCAATATCGTTATATTTACTGCATTTCTCTCAGTTCCTTCTACTGGACCTCAGTCCTTATTAGATACTCGGATTGATGACGCTTAAAACCCACTGAATAAATGACTTATCTCTTTTCACAATTATATGAAGGCACTGCTGAAGGGAAAGTCTCAAAATCTGGTGTACCGAGATTAAAGAGATATTCTTGAAAATATTGTACATTTCATCCTGTTTTTTTTTCTTCTTCTTTTTTATCCTTCTAATGTTTCAGATCTTGTATGTGTTCTGTTATTCACACTGCACAAGTTATACTGTAAAATTAGCTCGGTTAATGAATTTGATTCTTGATTTCCATATTTTCTTTGTTTTTTGTATATTTATCTTTATATTTAGGATGTTGCTCTTACTCAAAGGAAACCACAGTTTACCATTTTCTTGTTATTTTTTTGTAGGTCGAAGTTTTCCAGTTGTAGAACCAGCTTGAAAGAATGCCCTTCAGCATTATTTCTCGGCAATATAAGTAAGTATTTATTGACCCAATGTCGCTGGGAAAATGCACTGTTCACTGTAGTAGTTTTTTGTGAATTATTTCTGCGCATCGATGGCCCAACAGAGGAGTCAATTAGTAGACCTTGTGACCTCACTTTCCTTGAGTTTGCTAGAAAAGCATATTTTTTACTTAAACTATCAATATAAGTACTGTTATTATTATTATAGATATTTTAATCATTATAATGATACTGACATTACTATCATTATATACGACTGCAGAAAAAAAAATTCTGAAAGTCAAAGAAAAGGGTAAACAGGTGAGATGGTAGTACTCATAATTGGCTCATTGGTGACTTTGTACTCATGGAGCTATCTGTGTGTAAAGACAGTTAATAAACTAAATTCAAAGAGGGCGCGGCATTACCGTATGTGCCACCTCCGGCAGCTTCGGGTTAAAAGAGGTGCACTCCTGAGCATAAGTCCACACTACATGCACAAGTCTGGCATATGTTTTAACACATTGCTCATATATACCATAGTATCCATTGGGTCAAGGTTAGAAGAAAGGAGGGGAGAGAAAGGGAGTAGGGGGGTAAGGAGAGAGAGAATCAGATTCATTCTCTCTCTCTCTCTCCCTCTCCCTCTCTCCCTCTCCCCTCCCCCCTCCCTCTCCCTCTCCCTCCCCCCTTCCCTCTCCCTCTCCCTTCCCCCTTTACCTTTCCCTTCCCTCTCCCTCTCCCTCTCCCTCTCCCTCTCCCCCTACCCCTTTTCTTGTCATGTCTTGTCTTCTCTTCTCTTTTCTTTTCTCTCTTCTCTTCTGCTATATTTTGTCTTTTTCTTATAGATATTTTCCCTTTGATCTAATCACCCTATGCCCTTAAACCCTTCCCCTTTTGTAAGTCACTTCTGTATTCCATTTTTCTCCCCTCTATATCCTTTTCAGAGCTATCCTACAGTGCTGTACAACCTTTAATAGGTAACCCATTTTATCCTAATTGTTAACTCATTTTTACCCTTTTTGCCACAATATCTTACCATAATGCTATATGCCCTTTGATGTCTAGCAGATATATTTGTTTATTATTAGTTTTTGTTAACTATTAGTTATCCATTTATATCATTTACCTATAGATTTCATTCTTCTTCCTTTCTCTAGAGGTGATATGTATATATAGAGACAGAGATAGACATACAGGCAGAGACCCAACATTTGCTGTCTAACTACTGCCAACAGGTTTTACTTTTATCCAGTCTTATTGCCTCGCTCCCTCTCCCACTCCCCTACCAATCCTCCTAGTCTACCCCATCCACTCACGTACCCGATCCTCCCCCGTCTTGTGCTCCCTTTCCCCCGTCCTTGTATCTTTTAACTCTGGATGCAGCAAATACTGTGCCATATTTGTAAAAGTGTAAACCTAACTGTGAGAATAAGCATATGAATGTACCATAGGGTTCTTTTGATTTGGCTAGCCAGTTACTTGTACAATTGTTTTTTTCATGAATTCACTTTTAATCCTTTTTCATCTTCAAGCATGTCCATAGAGCAGGCCTGATCAATGGGTATGCCATAAGCTTCTTGGACTTCACTCAGGCCCATTTGTCTGGATTTACCATTAGTTTGTTTGTATTCTACTATAGACAGAAACACGTCATGTTACCTGTCATGTAATGGTGCTTTAAGGCATTGGTTTTCTAGCTTTAATTCATTCATAGGCTGTTCAGGTAACTATGTGATTCTTGATGATTAGTATCACCATCTGCTTTTTAGAGGATGTTTTTTGTTTCAATAAGGACTGCATTAGTAAAGAAGTTTTAGTTAGTCATTTTTCTATATGCTTTACAACATATGAAAATACAATTTTTTCCAAGGTCTGTATCAGTAATTTATGTAGTAAGAAGATGGTAAAGAATTGTTTCATTAAGCAAGTGGTCAGGAAAACAATGAAATCAAATTTAAATAGGCGATGATGAAGGGGCAAGCCATAATGCTCCTAATAAGGTAGAAAATCATCATTGACTGTCTAATAAGGGTAGAAAATCATTATTGACTGTCTAATAAGGGTAGAAAATCATTATTGGCTATGATGAGCCTGAAATAAGTGGGGAAAAGAAAGTTTACCCTTCAGGGTTGCAATAAGGGGAATACCAATCAATCAAGGGAATACCATGACCACAGCTCCCAGAGGCCATTCATGACTGACACAAAGCCAGCCTTTCATCCTTTCAGCATGGCTCTCACACCTTAGGAAATGGACAGAAGAGGATGAAGAAAAAGGGAAAGGATTGGGGAAGAAGAATAGACCATGCAAAATTAGTTGAAGCGAAGGCTGAGGCCCAAGGTAGGGGGGTGATCCCCTACCTTGGGCCTGTCTCCATCTCGTAAGCCCCCCACCTTAACAACAATGAGTAAGGGTTTGGAGGGTTTACAATATTGTAAAGTATATAGGATGTAATGAAAATAGCCAAGGAAAATCAAATGTTACCAGACTTTAAAAAAAAAAAAAAAAAAAAAGGGGTAGAAAAAATTCATATCCAGTCTCTGACCTTGATGAAACAAATTTCAGGGAGCATTCTAATCAAAAAGGAATATTCAGAGTACGAGAAGTATCAATATACAAGTTCTTTTATTTTGGATTCTACTGCCAGTTTGTCATAGCAAAAGAAGAGAATTGTGTATTCAGAAGTTAAACTGATGGTACATCAACACCATTAGATAGCATTGAAATGGAGTAATTTACATCACAGTTACAAAATGAGCATATAAGAGACTTATCAGAGATACAAATATTGAAAAAAATTGAAGTAAAAGATTTATAGGATGTATAATAACCATGAAGAGAATCAAGTCAAAATACATAAAGTAGTAACAGTATATTTTGTTTGATCAAACATTACTTCAGGTGATCATGTTCATACCACTCAATGCTGATAGTAATAGATTTTTTTGGTCTAATCAAAACTAGACTCAATGTAATGACTTATTACATTTTAAATCTTATATTGTATTTCTTAATTCTGGCATATAACATAAAATACAGCACTGGAAGGGCATCAGATACATTCATTCTTTACTCAAATTTTCAGCAAAATTTTACTTAATAGTCATTGATTTGTCCAACTCACATGATAAAGAGATTTCCACTGTACCTTTTTAATTGGATTTAGTAAAGCAATCATTTAATGACCATTACATTTCTGAAAGATACACTGGACTATATAAGTTTCATTATCTCAAGAATTAAGTTTCATGCTCTCCAGTATGAACATCATTCACACTATCTAATATAACACAAATATAACTAATCAAATATGGAAACTAATAAGAAATAAAAAAAAAATCAAAACAATGCAACCTAGATGATCACCATGGTAAATCCAGTATTTAAAAAGTGAACAATATGAACAGAAGTTGTCTGTATCTGTAACACTTCACATTGAGCAAGTTTAATTCTGGAATATCTTAGCCATAAGTCATTTGGTTTGGCTTTATTTTTGAAATTTTATCTAAACCTTTTCACTTCACTCTTTAATCAGCACAGCAATTGTCACGTCCATTAAAATTGCACATGAACGTTCATGGCCTGCATATTAGACCACAGTTCCAAGGAAGTACACATGATCTGACTAATGCCTCCCATTTTCTTTTCTAAAAGATGCAAGCTATTTATATATCCTATATAGAACTCTATGCTTCACTTCTTTCTTGCTCGTAGGTACAACCCTAAGAAACCAAGGAGATGGAAGCCAATGTAGAGAAGTGTTAAGAGTCCAAAGTCATAATGCAGATGAGATGCATTGAAGGCATATTCTTTAATGACTTGCTGCCCGTTGCTGATGCAGGGGACACCAGGCGGCATCTCGCATGCTGTTCAGGAATTAGAAATTTATGAGTAAATTCAGATACAATTATGAGAAGAGCACACTGACTTCAAACTATTTAAAAGTGTACTGCTTATAGAAAAGGTGAATGTTAAAAGTTGTAACTGAAATATTCTTGACTCACTTTCTATACTAAATATATTTGTAAACCATCTCTTGCAATATATTCTTTAAAATGCAATATTCTGTACATAGATAGAGCAATTTAATACAATTTCATTCATTTGCTAACTACTGAAATTTAAAGGAAATAAAAATACTTACTGATATTTGTCACATCAGACCACTGAGTAACAGTAAGTGCCTCATTACTGTACATGAACCAGGATAAATACTTCACCCAGCCAATATACCATGGCATTGATCTGTCAGAGGAGAAAATAGAAATCACATATGAACCTCTCATCAGCAATCTCTTTTAAACAACATGGTTACACAGTATGATTCCTGAAGTGGATTTAGAGGGGGGTGGAGCCATAAGGGGGGGCCCCTATGGCAGCACACCAGTTTTTTTTTGTTTTGTTTCTATTTAGGGGGTCGATTTTCATTTCTGGTGCCCAAGCTGCAATCCATGGCCCCCTGAGAACCCAGAACTATTTATAGTTGGTCTTATTCTATTACTATACCTACAGAAATACAATTACATAGAATGTATGTGGTATTATTTATATTGTCTGAAAGTAACATGCCAATTACACACACCCCTTTCACAATTTCTTGGATCCGCCCATGGATTATGCAGGGAATAATCTTTTAGTATCAAAACTAAGAAACTGCACAGAACTGCTAAGCTGCAAGTGTAAGATGAGCACCACTCTGTCTTCTAAATCTTGCCTGAATAAGAGAAAAAAATCCTACCTTTTTTGCCATCCTACTTGCTACATATTAAAATGTCCCCTTACATACAAATAGTAGTACAGAAAAAAAAAATCCTCAAATTTCATCATTATAGCTGCCTCTTCTGTTCAATTAATACTCACGAGAGGTTGATGAACAGTCCTCCTGAGATGAGTAGGACAACATCGAAGGGTATGAGGAACAGCATGATGTAGGGAATGCTCTCAAACATAGCTGAGAACATGGAACCTGTAACGGGATTTGAATATGTTAGATCCCTTGGAGACAAAATTTTGCTGTGGTACTTTTATGACGGAAGGAAAGTCTTTACTGATTTTACATTTTATTTGCACCAACTTGTGTATGCTTGTATGTGTTATTATAAGAGAATTGTATTGTATTTTAAACTTGTATTGTTATTATAAGAGAAGCAAAAGTGTGCGTGTGCGTGTGTGGTGTGTGTGTGTGTGTGTGTGTGTGTGTGTGTGTGTGTGTGTGTGTGTGTGTGTGTGTGTGTGTGTGTGTGTGTGTGTGTGTGTGTGTGTGTGTGTGTGTGTGTGTACGCGTGTGTGTGTGTGTACGCGTGTGTGTGTATGTGTGTGTGTGTGAATGTATGTGAATATTTGTGTGTGAATGTATGTGAATTTGTGTGTGAATGTGTGTGTGTGAATGTGTGTGTTACGCGTGCGTGTGTGTACGTGTGTGTGTGTGTGTGCGTGTGTGTCAATATTTGTGTGTGAATGTATGTGAATATTTGTGTGTGCATATTTGTGTGTGTGTGTGTGTGAATGTGTGTGTGTGTTATTGTGTGTGTGTGTTTGTGTGTGTGTGTGTGTGTGTGTGTGTGGTGTGTGGTGTGTGTGTGTGTGTGTGTGTGTGTGTGTGTGTGTGTGTGTGTGTGTGTGTGTGTGTGTGTGTGTGTGCGTGTGTGTGTGCGTGTGTGCGTGTGTGCGTGTGTGCGTGTGTGTGTGCGTGTGCGTGTGTGCGTGTGCGTGTGCGTGTGCGTGTGCGCGCGTGTGCGTGTGGTGTGCGTGCATGTGCGTATGCGTGTGTGTGACATACATACACACACACACACACACGTGCGGGCGCGTGTCTGAATGTATGTATGTATCTGTGCGTGCGCACATGCGTGCAAGTGTGAATGTGTGTGTGCGTGTATATACATAAATAAGTACGAGAGTGAGTGTCACTGAAATAGCAGAGAGAGGAGTCTAACAGAGCACCTCAACGTATAGTCTAAGAAACAATTTTAAGCTAACACATAGCACAGGAGTCACACCCCCTCGTTTGGAAGCCTTTTCAGCCTGTGTACAATCAGACCGAATATCCTGTTCGTTAATGCCCCCTTTGTGCCACACCTCTGTATCTGAGACGTGTAAAAAGCCTGCCCCCATGGGTTTATTTTCCTTTAAGTTATTCTGAATATGTAATTAAATGTCTATTCTCTAATAGCTTTGCGTAATCTATTCTTTACGTGACTGTTTTTAAAATATAGTAATTTCCGTCTCCAGTAGGACTTAATATTTCCAGCACAGTCACTCGTACCCCCCCACACACAAGGTCACGAAGAAAAAAGGTGAAAATGAATACTCCAAAAATGAATAGACATCAAATATCCCAAAAGGAATACCCCAAACGAATACTCGAAAGAGAATACCCAAAAATAAATACCCTAAAACAAATATTCCATAAAGAAAACCCAAAATTAAATATCCCAAAAAACAAACACTCCCATTATTCGACGACACAAAGTAAACCGTACCGCAGGCCGAAGCAGTGTTGGCAGTGAAGATTGTGATCAGAATGGTCATGAAGAAGTGGTAGGCATGTCTCTGCAGACCAACCATCCAGTAGCAGATGATGCAGAACACGACCGGGTCTACAATAAAGCCCGGGATCTGTGGAGAGGAAAAAGTAGAAAAGAATCTATTTAAATTTGGATTCTGTGGGGAAGGAAGAATGGAAAGAAACTATATTGAATCTTGGATTCTGTGGAGAGGGAAGAATGTGAAAAAACTATTAAGAAACGGAATTTGTAGAGAGGGAAGAATGCAAAAGAAACTACATAGAAATTTTGAATATGTAGAGAAGGAAGGAGAATTTCAGAGAACTATAAGGTGTCCTAGAATCTGTGGAGAGGGAAGAATGCAACACTGTATTGAAACGGAGTCTGTGGAGAGGGAAAATATAGTAGAAACTATATTAAAGCTTTGAAATTGCGGAGAGGGGAAAAAGAGAAAGGTGAAAGAAACTTTACTGAAAATTGGAATCCGTGAAGATAGAAGAATGTGAAGGAAACTATACTGAAACTTTCATTGTGTGAAGGAAGGAGGTCAGAGGTTTATACTGGGACGTAAAACCTGTGGAAGAGGAAGCAAGCCAAATAATAGCTTTGTGCCGTAGGAGGCAACAGTGACAATGCTTTATTACAAAACACTGCAAAAGGGTTGCATGACAAGAAGTTTTCGTCGCTTAATGAAAAATACAAGCTTTGTTTACAGTAAATATAGCATTGGAAGACCTTAATTCCACAGAGACAAAAGAGGGATATACAGACAAGTAAATAGAGGAATTAACACAGTTTTGAGTAAGCTTTTGAGTTACGCTGATAAAGGGGCTGTCAGGATTGACAAAGAGAAGGAAAGGTATAGGGAGAGACTTATAAAGACGTCAGCAGGTTGGTAGTTAGGTCAAAAGGTATGAAGGTGGATTCAGAGATAAAACAAATTGATAGAAAGAAGACATAAAATATCATGTAGACAATACAGACAAAAATAAACATACAAACAGACACAATGAAATGAAAAAAATCCTTCAGACTGACTCATCTCAAAACATCCCAACAGAGAGACTCAGAACCTCACCAGCGCCACCATCTTGGAGAGGTAGTAGGTATCGGCCCGGTATATCCCGTTCTTATACTCTCGCAGGAACAGAGGCAGTTCTTGGGGGAAGATGTTAAGGACTCCGTAGAGAGAAGGGAATGTATTTTCGGTGATGAAGATGAAGAGGACGCCCTCGATGTCTTGGATGCCGGCCTGGTTCAGCGTGACGTTGGTGTAGCAAACACCCACAAGGAAGGCAATGAGCTGTGGGGAAGTTGGACATACGTTATGGGCTGGAAGTTGTACAGAAGCTATAAGTTGTAGGGAAGTTGGACATGAGGTTTGATGTTATACATAAGTTGGACATGAGGTTTGATGTTGTACATAAGTTGGACATGAGGTTTGATGTTGTACATAAGTTGTAGAGAAGTTGGACATGAGGTTTGATGTTATACATAAGTTGTAGGATTTTATTGTGGTCACAAGCGTGAACTTATGAAGTATACGGGAATTGTGTGACGGTTATGGTGATGGAGACGTAGATGGTGACGGTGATGATGATAGTGATGACGGAGATGATGTTTATGACAGAGATGATGGAGATGATGATTGATGATTGATAATGATGGTGATGATATGATGATGTGATGATGATTGATGATGATATGATGATGATGATGATGATGATGATGATGATGATGATGATGATGATGATGGTGATGATGATGATGATGATGATGATAATGATGGTGATGATAATGGAGATAAGGATGACGACGACCGATTATGGTAATAAGACCAATAACAGAAATAAAATATAACAGCTTTTGGCAATAATGACGATCTCAGAGAAACACATAACAAATAACTAAATATAATCACAGACGAAAAAGTACAACCTCCCAAAAAAACAATCATCTAAATATAATAACAGTACTGGATGCACTCTCACGTGTCGCTCTAAATTCAACAAGAATTATGACAAGATACAAGCTTACAGAAAGACCAATAATAAACCTCACCTCCCTAAGCTTAGCTGTCTGACTTTAAAGAGGATGAGGTTTTAATGTTTTATATAAGAAACATGCGTGACCTGTCTCTGCAATACCGAAACGTGCATGTCAAAAAAAAAAAAGAAAAAAAAAAAAAAAACGATAGCTTTTCATGTGACTTTTTTTCATGTCATATGTAACACGTCTTTTTGAAAATAATCCAGATTTAAATAGCATTGATAAATGAAAGCGATTGAGCAGGCATGTGACCAATGTAAGAATGTTTGTATATAGATTAGTCATTTATGTAATCTTGTAATCTTCATCGTCAGTGTTAAGAATAGTAGCTTACAGTATTAATGATGGTGATGATGATGATGGTATGATGGTTGATGGATAGATGGATGATGTGATGGATGATAGATGGATGGTGATGATGATGGGTTGATGAAAGATGGAAAGATGGATGGTGATGGTTGATGAGGGATGGATGGATGATGGTGAGGATTGGTGATGACTGAAGGTGATGGTGGTGATGAATGATGGTGATGATTGATGATAATGCATTGATGGGGGTGAATGACGATGATTGGTGATGACTGACGATGATTATTGATGGTGATGGTGACTAATGATGATTGATGGTGATGGTGATGACTGATGATGCATTGATGATGATGATGATGATGATGACTGATGACTGATGATGATGATGATGATGATTGATGACTGATGATGACTGATGACTGATGACATCGACGATGATGACGATGACGACCACCACCCTCATCCTAATAATATAATACCAATACCAAAAACAAAAACTTACAATTTTCTGCATGATCCTGATGGAGTGAATGGCAGGGTTCCTGTAGGAGTCGACGAGGGAGCGCCACGTGAGCCACCAGAACTGAACGAGCCAGTTGGGTTTTTGTCTGAAGAGAGAACGAGCAATGATTAGTCTAAATAAAAGAGAAAAGACTTATTTACTCGTCGATAAAAGCGAGGAAAGTGGTATTTACTTGTCAATAAAAGCAAGGAAAGTGGTATTTACTTGTCAATAAAAGCGAGGAAAGTGTATTTACTTGTCATAAAACAGGAAAGTATTTACTTGTCGATAAAAACAAGGAAAGTGGTATTTACTTGTCAATAAAACCAAGGAAAGTGGTATTTACTTGCCAATAACAGCAAGGAAAAAATGGTATTTACTTGTTAATACTTGTTAATGAAGGAGAGGAAAATCTTATTTTCTCGTTATTAAAGAATATTTTTTGTTTTTCTACACGTGAGTAATAAGGGAAAAAAATAATTTACTCGTCTATTTTTTATTCATTGTCGTTGTTATTGGCAATAAAGAATAATGATAATGATAGTTTCTTTACATCTTTTTTATCTTTTGCAGGAAGATGAGACATCCAGGAAAAATATTCCTTACTCATTTTATCTCTTTTGGACGAAAGAAATTTTTTTTTTACGACTGGAATTGGATTAATTCTTTATTGTATTCCTTATCTTAAATTATTAAATTTATTCCCCACTTTTCTCACCCTTATTCTTATACTCGTTTTCATTCTCCACCTCCTCCATCTCCTCCCTCTCCACCTCCTCCTCCTCTTATCTTCTAATTTCCTCCCTATCATTTCCCTTCATTCCCTTCTTTCACAATGGAACAAAACCATTCTCGAACCCAAAAACTCCCTTGGACTCCCACACAGAACTTTAGCATTTGATGAAACAACAAAATTAACTCACGGTATACTCCTGAAGAAATGGTCCTCTTGAGACTGGAAAAGGAAATAATTGTTAAAAGCTATAGATAGCAAGTCAGCAGTGTCTTCATATATAGAAAGAGAGAGGGAATGCGGGGAGCGGAAGCGGAGCGGAAAAGAATTTTTTGTTAAAAGCTATAGATAGCAAGTCAGCAGTGTCTTCATATATAGAAAAGAGAGAGAAGCGGGAGCGAAAAGCGGAAAAGAAAAAAAGAAATAATTTGTTAAAGCTATAGATAACAAGTCAGCAGTGTCTTCATATATAGGGAAAGAGAGGGAATGCGGAGCGGGGAGCGGAAAAGAGAAAAGAAAAAGAAATAATTTGTTAAAAGCTATAGATAACAAATCAGCAGTGCATATATAGGAGAGAGAGGGAAGCGGAGCGGGGAGCGAAAAGAAAAGGAGTGTCGAGAAAGAAGGAAGAGGGCGAAAAATAAAAGGCCGAATAGGAATTAAAACAAATGAATATCTTATATCCAAACATATACATACAGAAAGGCCTGTACCCCCCCAAAATGAATAAAATAACCAAATAAACCAAAAAATGAATAAAATAACAAGATAAACCAAAAATGATAAAATAACAGAGAAACCGAAAGATTAATAAAATAAAATAAACCGAAAAATGAATAAAATAACCAGATAAAAAATGCGAAAGATTAATTAAAAAAATAAACGAAAAATGAATAAATAACAGAGAAACCGAAAAATGAATAAAAATAACCAGATAAACCGAAAAATGAATAAAAAACCCGAAAAATGATAACAGAGAAAAATGAAAAAAATAAAATAAACCGAAAAATGAATAATAACAAAAAATAATAAATAAGAAATAATAAAAATAAACCGAAAATGATAACCAGAAAACCGAAGAAACCGAAAAATGAATAAAAATAACCGAAAAACGAATAAAATATAAAATAACCAATAAACAAAAATAAAATATATAAAATAACTGGATCAAAAAAACACGAAGGCCAAACCGCGGGCCACTCACACTCGCCCCCGAATCCGACTGCGAGATGCACATGTTGTCTTGGTACTGGATCGTAATGTCGATGTCCTTGGAGTAAGCGGACACGGCGAAGTTGTCGCAGATCCTCTTGATCCGCTCGCGAGATCGATGTTCGTGCCCGGGAAGGACCGCCAGGGTGTGGATGTAGTAGTCGGCCGGGTTAAAGGTCGAGGGACATTTGTGGCCGAGGCTGGAGAGAGAGAGAGAGAGAGAGGGAGGGTGGTTATGGGAGACGAAAGTAGAGGCTCTGTGTGTCGTGGATAAGTGTTAAGTGATTAAGATCTATTCAAGCGTTGGGCGTCTTGGATTTGCAAGTCACTTTCGCTGAGGGGATTTGACTGGACGTACACACGCACGCACAACCACCTACACACACGAAACACGATACGTATCACAACCACCACAACATCCCACGGTCCCTACACCACACATACCGTTACAACCCCACAGCACTAGAACACAAAACGACACAACAACGACCTAAATTCAACACCTTCCCCTTCCCCCATACACCCCCTCATCGCACAGACATCAACAAACCCCCACAGAACCCCGTTAACACCCCACCCACCCCCAGCCCAGCCTCACCATCTTTCACTCCCACCCCCAGCCTCGCCACCTTTCACTCCAAGACCCACCTGTCCAGGAACTCCAGAGCACCCGACGAGGAACCCATGTACGCCACACGCCCCTCGGCCAGCAGGAGGAGCTTGTCGAACATGGCGAAGACCTCAGAGGAAGGCTGGTGGATGGTGCACAGGATGGTCTTGCCCCTCGCTGCCATGTCCTTCATCATCCTGACGAGTTTTCGAGCGTTGTAGGAATCGAGGCCGGTCGTTGGTTCGTCACAGAAGAGCAGGGCGGGTCGGTGAGAATCTGCGGAAGGGGGAAGGGGGTTAAGGAAGGGTGATATATTCTATAACGGGGGTGGGGGGACGGAAGGAAGAGTGAGGGAGGGAAGGAAGAGGATGGAGGGGAGGGGAGAAGAGGGAGATGGGAGGGAGGGAAAGAGAGAAAGAAGAAAGAGAGAAAGAGAGAGAGAGAGAGAGAGAGAGAGAGAGAGAGAGAGAGAGAGAGAGAGAGAGAGAGAGAGAGAGAGAGAGAGAGAGAGAGAGAGAGAGAGAGAGAGAGAAGAGAGAGAGAGAGAGAGAGAGAGAGAGAGATAAAAAAGAATGAGAAAGGGAAAAAAGAACGAGAGAGAGAAAGAAGAACGAGACAAAAAATAGAAAGAGAGACCGAAATAGAAATAAGAAAGAGAAAGAGAACGAACTAAAAGGAGAAAGAGTAAAAGGAAGAAAGACTCAAGACAATTAAAACCTCATGCCTAAATCAGCTGACAATAACCCAGAAGTCCGAGTCACTGTCTACTGTGCACTTAATCTAAAATATCTCCATTAGGTCACGTTGGGCGATCGACAAGCAAAAGCCATGAGGAAAATTTTGGTAAATCTCATTCCAGAAAAGAAAGAAATAGGTGTAATGGCTTAAGACTTTTTTTTTTTTAAATAATAACGATCTCTTTGTTTATTTCTAGCTAGGGAATGCTACCGATATCATCTGACAAGAAAATAGAAAAACGACATTTTTTTGATGCACAAACACAAACAGACGGGTAGAGAAAGGCAGCGGGCCAATTAACATGTAAATAGACTCACACTCACACTCACACCACTCACACTCACACCCGCATCCACACACTCCCCTCTCACCCTCACTCTCACACTCATCACACATACCCACACTCCCTCACTCCCACACTCACACCCTCCCACACTCACACACTCCCACACTCACACACTCTCACACCCACCCCCCACCCCCTCCCCCCACTCACACCCACACTCACACCCTCACTCTCACATCCGCATCCACACTCACACCTCCCACGCTCACACCCTCCCACACTCACTCTCACTCTCCCCTCTCCCCTCTCACTCTCTCCTCCTACCCTCACCCTAACCCACACTCACACCCACACCCACCTCCCACACCCACACCCACACTCCCACACTCCCACACTCACCTCCGTCGCGAACGCCAGGCGCTTCCTCTCTCCTCCCGAAAGCGACTTGTCCTGCCCCGGGTGCCGATCCGCGTGTTCTGCGCCTTCAGGAGACCCAGTTCCTTCATGAGCTCCAGCACGCGCGCCATTCGCTGCTTCTGCGTCCTGCGTCGGTCCATCCTGAGGCGGGCCTTTGGGGGAAGAGGAGAGAGCAAAGGGTCAAAAGAAAATCCACTGATTAACAGGTTAAAATACGGCAAGATAGGTCTCACACTCTCCCTCACCTTCCCTCTATCCCCGCCCGCTTATCCTTTCCTTCCCTCTCACCCTCACCCTCAACCTCTCCCTCTCCCTCTCCCTCCCTTTCATACTCAATCTCTCCTCCCTCTCACCCTCACCCTCCCTCTCACCCTCACCTCATCCTCCCCCTCCCTCATCCTCCCCCCTCCCCTCATCCTCCCCTCTCCTCCCTCTCCCTCCCTCTCACCCTCACCCTCACCCTCTCCCTTCTCCCTCCCTCTCACCCTCCCCCTCCCCGCCCCCTCACCTCACCCTCTCCTTCCCCCTCTCATCCTCCCCTCACCATTCCCTCCCCTCCCCTTCCCTCCTCTCACCCTCACCCACCCTCCCCCTCTCCTCCCTTTCACCCACCCTCTCCCCCTCCCTCCCACCCTTCCCTCTCCCTCCCTCCCTCCCAACGTACCATAAACATCAGATGCTCCTTGACGGTGAGCGAACCGACGAAGAGGTCATCCTGGTGCACGTATCCTGCCAGGGACGCCATGGCACGGTTGGCACGACGGCTGTTGACGAGGATCTCCCCGTCCACGATGACTCCCCCGGGGGTACGGTGGGCCAAGGCGTTCATCAGGGTGGATTTCCCGGCGCCACTGGAAGAGTAGGAAGGGGGTGAGGGGGGTGGGAAGAAAGAGGGGGAGGGAGAGAGAGGGAGGGATGGGAAGAAAGAGGAAGGAAGGGGAAGAGTAGGAAAGGGGGTGAGTGGCTGGGGGTGAGGAAGGGAAGAGGGAAGAAAGAGGAAGAGGAAGGGAGGGAAGCGAAGGGAGGGAAGAAGAGGGAGGGGGAGAAAGAGGAGGGAGGGGGAGAAAGAGGGAGGGAGGGAGGGAGAGAGAAAGGGAGGGTAGAGGAAGAAATGGGAAGAAAGGATAGACTAAGGAGAATATTGGACGAAAAAGGGAGAGGAAGAGGAAGAAATTGCAAGAGGAAGAAGAGGAAAAAAGAAGACATAGGAAGAGGAATGAGATCGAAAACTGGTAAAAGTGATGGAATTGAAAGAGGGGGAGGGGAATAAAAGAATGAGCGAATGAGAAGGAAAATTGGAAAGGAAAAGAAAATGGAAATACATAGATGAAAAAAGGGTTTAAAAAGGAAATGTTTGACATCACTAAATCAAATAGTGGAAAAGGACCAGGTAAGAAAACTTGCAATAAAAAGATTATTAACACGAAATTAACGCAAAAATTATGGTAGACCGACATACAAAATACGGCCAATAGCTTGTTATCATGATAGACAGACGAGTAGATAGACAGACAGAGTGTGTTATAGGGAGTGTGAATATAAGTGTGAGGGTGTGCGTGTGTGTTTTTTGTGTGTTAAAATATACGTGTGTGTATCGAACGTCTATTTCTGTGCATAAGCATATTCATATCTCTCTCTCACTTATCTGGTCTACCATCTATCTGTCTATCCACCTATCTGTCTATCCATCTATCTGTCTATCCACCTATCTGTCTATCCATCTATCTGGCTATCCATATACCTGTATCCTTCAATCTACCCATCTCTCCATCCACCTATCCATCCATCCACATCTATCCATCCACATCTACCCAAACGCATAAACACCAACCTCTCCATCCACGATCCACCTCATCTACCTCATCTATCTACACCTCTCTCCCTACGAGTAAGGTATCTCATCCAACCCAGATACAAAACCTCATACTTGCGACCAACACGGAATATGAAGCGACCCACGAATACGTCTCTGAGAGCGACCGTCGGTAGCTGTAGGGTGTCTCTCCCCCTTCCTCTCTCTCTCCTTCTCTCTCTCTTCTCTCTCTCTCCTCTCTCTCCTCCCTCTCTCTCTCTATCTCTCCCTCTTCTCTCTTTCTCTCCTCTCTCTCTCCCTCTCCCTCTCTCTCTCACTCTATCTCTCCTCTCCTCTCTCTCCCTCTCTCTCTCTCTCCTCTCTCTCTTCCTCTCTCTCTCTCCTCTCCCTCTCCTTCCCTCCCTCTCCCCTCTTCTCCCTCTCCTCCCTCTCTTCCCTCTCTCCCTATCAGGTGAGGGGGACTTGGTCAGCTGACTTGGTTAAGGGAGGAGGTCAGGTTACAGGGGCGGTAAGGAGAAGGGGAGAGGGGGAGAGGGGAGAAGGGGGAGAGGAGGAGAGGGGAGAGGGGGAGAGGGGGATAGGGGGAGAGGGGGAGAGGGGAGAGGGAGGAGAGTGGGAAAAATTGGAGGAAGGGGGTGAAGGAGGAAAGTAGGATAAAGGGGGAGAGGGAGGAAAGTAGGATAAAGGAAAAGGAGGAGAGCGGAGTGGGGGGAAGGGAAGGGAGAGAAGGATAAAAAGGATGAAAGTTGGAATTAAAGGAAGTTGGAGGAAGGGGTGGGGGAGAGGGAAAATTGGGAGAAAGGAGGAATGGAGAGGAACGAAGAGCAAGAGGGAGAGGGAGAACAGATAAGAAGCGAAGGATAAAAACGGCAAGGAGCGGAATAAACGAAGAGTGAAAGAGGAGAAGAGAGAGAGAGAGAAGGAGAAGAGAAGGAAGGGGGAAAGGTGGAGGTGGGGGGGGGAGGTGAGAGGTTGACGAGATACAAGACAAGCCGTAGATGAGTCACGTGACCAAGATGAGCCAGAAAGGAGGGAAGAAAAATGGAATAACCAGAAGAACCGAGGACGAAAACATGGACATGAAAAGGAGAAGGAGAAGGAGAAAGGGAAAGTGGAGGAGGAGGATTATAATGAGAGGAGGAACAAGAATGAGAAGGAGGAAAAGAAGCGAAAGGAGAAGGGAGGGAAGAAGAAAAAAAGAAGGAGAAGAAGAAGAAGAAAAAAAAAACAAAGAGGAGTGAACCTGGAGAGAAACGAATATATTGCAAAAAATAACAAATAATGTAAGATTTTTTTTTACTGAATATGAAACTTAGAGATGAAGAAAAAATGCCATTTATTTTCTCTTTCTCTTTCTCTTGTCCAATTCTTTATTGTATGTTTCCATTTTTTTTTTTCTTCGCTCGTTTTCTTTCACTCTTTATTTGTAATTTATTGCTGTCCACTTCCTCTACTTCTGACGACATTTCAAGAATTTTTATTAAATGTTCTTTCAACTAACTAATAAGTGGCATTTTTCTTCCATAAGTCTATTTCTAATTCTGCATAATAACAACTATATCTATCTGTCTGTCTATCTAGCTATCTATCAGCGCCTTCTTAAACTTATTCGTTGGTCCTCCTTGCTGTTTACCTCATCTATCTATCTATCTATCTATCTATCTACCTATCTATCTACCTATCTATTTATCAACGTCTTCTTCTAACTTCGTTATTGCTTCCTTCTGTTTACCTTATTTCTTCCTCCTCCTCAAACACATTTCTCGCTCTCTCTCGCTCTCGCTCTCTCTCTCTCATTCCTTCTTTCTCCAACTTCTGTATCTACTCTTTTTTTATTCCGGGTGAATTCTCTCCGATTTTCCTTATAAAACTGAAAAGGAAGAGGAGGAGGAGAGGAAAAGAGGAGGAGGAAGAAGAGGAGGAGGAAGGAGGAGGAGGAGGAGGAGGAGGAGGAGGAAGGGAGGAGGAGGAAGAAGAGGAGGAGGAAAAGGAGGAGGAGGAGGAGGAGGAGGAGGAGGAGAGGAAGAGGAGGAGGAGGAAGAGGAGGAAGGAGGAGGAGGAGGGAGGAGGAGGAGGGAGGAGGAGGAAGAGGAAGAGGAAGAGGAGAGAGGAGGAGGAGGAGGAGGAGGAGGAGGAGGAGGGAGGAGGAGGAGAAGGAGAAGGAAAGGAGAAGGAGAAGGAGAAGAAAGGAGAAGGAGAAGGAGAAGGAGAAGGAGAAGGAGAAGGAGAAGGGAGAAGAGAAGGAGAAGGAAAGGAGAAGGGAGAAGGAGAAGGAGAAGGAGAAGGAGAGAAGGAGAAGGAGAAGGAGAAGAGAAGAAGGAGAAGGAGGAGGATAATAATAAGGAAGAGAAGGAGGATAATAATAAGAAGGAGAGGTGAAAGAAGGATAAGAAGGGGGAAAAGAAGAGGAAGAAGGAGAAGGAGGGGAGGAAAAGGGAAAAAAAAAATAAAGTAGTAGAAGAAAAAAGGAAGAAAAAAGGATAAAAAAAAAAAAACGAGAAAGAACGGAGAGGACAAGAAACAGGACAAGAAGGAGAGGAAAGCTTCAGCGAGAAGGATTACTCAGGTTCCTCCACAACAGCCAGGGTTTCAGTAAGACATCTTCTGGCTCTTGTGTCTGTCTAGTTTGTCTGTCTCGCTGCTTGCCGCTCTCTCTCTCTCTCTCTTTGTTGTGTGGGTATGAGAGGGAGGGAGAGAGGGAAGGATAGAGGCAGGGAGGGAGGGAGGGAGGGAGGGAGGGAGAGAGGAGAGAGAGAGAGAGAGAAGAGGAGAGAGAGAGAGAGAGAGAGAGAGAGGGAGAGGGAGAGGAGAGGAGGGGAGGAGAGGAGAGAGAGAGAGAGAGAGAGAGAGAGAGAGAGAGAGAGAGAGAGAGAGAGGAGAGAGAGAGAGAGAGAGAGAGAGAGAGAGAGAGAGAGAGAGAAAGAGAGAGAGAAGAGAGAAGAGAGAGAGAGAGAGAGAGAGAGAGAGAGAGAGAGAGAGAGAAAGAGAGAGAGAAAGAGAGAAAGAGAGAAAGAGAGAAAGAGAGGGAGAAAGAGAGACTGACAGAGAGAGAGAGAGAGACTGACAGATAAACAGACACAGAGACAGACAGAGAGAGTGTCGGTGAGCAATACAGATAGACAACAATATCACTAACATCTATCAGAGTAAACCTATATTTATCAACATACTTCACGCTCTAAAATCACCAAACAACCAATGAACAATCGACACGGCCAAAATAACCTTAACAGACATTCATGGCGGTGTGCTTGGGGGCAAGAAAATGCAACACCTTTTATACAGATGGTCCCTGTCGCCTACATCCCTTGAAAATAGCCTCTGTCGACTCGCACGAGAAGCCTTTCTGCAAGATCTCCTTCGCGTGTCATAGGCTCCAGAAAATGCTATACTTGGTCAGATTATCCGTAGGTCAAAGTCACCGAACATGTGATGTGTAAACGAAATCTGAATCTGTGAGAGGGATGATGAATGTAAAATGGCGCGAACCTTTTTTTTTCTTTTCTTTTATCTCAAGTCTACGAATATTATTTTTTCTTCTTTTATCATAATTTGGCAGCGGACTGTTTGTTTTGAAGGTAAGGAACTGGGAATTAGTGAGTAACACGAGGTAATTCAAGTAAATAGTAAGGTTTACTCTTATTTTTTTTCGTTTTTCTTATTCGTATCATGCCTATCGAAGTAATAAATCTATAAATATACAGACAGACACACACAGACACAGATACACACCGACACACACACACACCCACCCACACACACTTCCCCCACCACACACACTCCCCCCCCCCACACACACACAACACCCCCCCCCCCCCCCCACACACACACCCCCCCCCACACACACACACACACTCCCCCCCCACCACACACACACACACAGCGCAGACCAAGACCAACGCGAGACGGGCACAGCAAAGGTCAGGTGACCTGGGACAGCCAAAAATCCGACCTGACTCATTTTTCCATTACATCTAATTTCTAGACTGATCGACTTATTACCGAGGAAAGAAAGAAGTTTGAAAAGACGTTCCAGAAATTAGGAAACCGGCAACCGCCTGAAATCAGCGCGCACGGAAAAATGACCCTTACGGAACCAGAAATAAAATCGGATATTCTGAACTCATAGAGGAAACCGGCAACCGCCTGAAATCAGCGCGCGCACAGAAAAATGACCCTTACGGAAACCAGAAATAAAAACGGAAATTCGGACTCACCTAGAGGAAACCACGCACAGAAAAATGACCCTTACGGAACCAGAAATAAGATCGGAAATTCGGACTCACCTAGAGGAAACCAGCGACCGCCTGAAACAGCGCACTGAAAAATGACCCTTACGGAAACCAGAAATAAAAACGGAAATTCTGACTCACCAAGGAAACCGCACAAAATGACCCTTACGCAAAAAATAAGATCGGAAATTCTGACTCACCTAGAGGAAACCAGCGCACAGAAAAATGACCCTTACGGAAACCTGAAATAAAAACGGAAATTCTGACTCACCTAGAGCCCATAAGAGCCACGAGACTGCCAGGTCGTACGGCTCCAGACACTGAAAAAAATTGTAAATACGAACTTCAATTTTAAGTTAACTGGATAAACAAACATCTAGGCTTTCACTTAGTGGTGGTGTGAAGACGAGAGGAAAATCGCAGAAGAGAGAGAAAAAAGAACACAAGAAAAAGAGAACATGAGAGAGAGAGAAGAACACAAACAGGAGAGAGAAAGAGAACACAACAGGAGATGAGAACGAGAAACCACAACAGGAGAGAGAAGAGAACACAACAGGAGAGAGAAAGAGACACAACAAGAACACAAGAAAAAGAGAACATGAGAGAGAGAACACAACAGGAGAGAGAAAGAGAACACAACAGGAGAGAGAGACAACACAACAAGATAAAGAGAACACAAGAGAGAGAGAACACAAGATAAAGAGAACACAAGAGAAAGAGAAGACAACAAGAGATAGAGAGAACATAGCAATAGAGAGAGAAAGAGAACACAACAAGAGAAAGAAAGAAAACACCTCAGCTAACAACTCCTCTTTGGTATATAGCTCGGAATAAGTCTTCAGCAGATGACTAGTTTCCCTTTTGAATATTATAAGGACTCTATACCTTGGACATTGTTTCATAATGACTAAAAAAATACAAAATAAATCACAAATAAACGTATAAAGAAGCCAGAGAAAAATAGCTCTAAAATAAACAATTTGTCCCCTCATTAAGCCTCAATTAGGTATCTATAAGGCACACAACCCATCGACCCAGCGGGACACTAATTAAACCTGTCGTCTACCTGGTATTTTCCGGATACCGAGAATACCCCAAAGTGACGTTTCCTAGCAGGGTACCATACCCCCTGGCGTTTAAAGAGCTACCACTGGTATGCCTGGGGTACGACTGTCCAAGTCACCTTACTAATAGTCTTTTATTTAGCTTTTAGAGGCGGATAACTTTTGGGTAGATAAGAAAAATAATGTTTTTCACACGCCTAAGATTTTAACTGGATAGGAAGACAAAGTTTGAAGAAAATACTTGAGGAATATTAAATCGGAAATTGCACATATTGAGGCGTGAAACATTATCCTCAAGGATCTGTAGGTGTTCTGAGCACAAAGTTTCACTCGCCATCAAGGTGTCTTATAAACTCTAATTACAATTCCTTAGCCATGAGCGACTCAGCCCCCTCCCTCACCACATCCTCATCCTACAACCCAACCACGCTCTGGCTCCCTTATCCTACAACCCAAGCATAAACCGACTCCCTCATTCCTACAACACAACCACGTTCTGGCTCCCTTATCCTACAACCCAAACATAAACCGACTCCCTCAATCCTACAACCCAAACACACACTGGCTCCCTTATTCCTACAACCCAAACACAAATTTACTCCTTCATTCCTACAACACAAACTAACTCCCTCATCCCTACAACACAAACCGACTTCCTCATTCCCTACAACCTCATCACGCACTGGCTCCCTCATTCCCACAACCCCATCAACGCACTGGCTCCCTCATTCCCACTCACCATTGTTGAGCACTCGCTTGAAGGGTCGATGTCCCGCGTCGCTTCGGAACCAGCTCCTCTTCTGCGGCACGTACACGCTCAGGTCCCGCCACGTGAGTGTGATGCCTTCGTCGGGGGCCCTCCAGGTGCCGTAGCCGAGGCCCGACTGCTTCACGAGGCCCGAAGAGTCCCCGGCCTCCTCCTGACGGCGTGGAAGAAGGGGGCGTCAGGGAATCGAGGGGGACTTTTTGAGAGAGCGGATCAGTTTGATAACAGAAAATGGGAGATATTTCGGGATATTTTATAGTATGGCTTTAACTACGCGATGGATAATACAGGAACCGGCATGGGTGCGACCGAATTCTAGACAGCAAGTTGTTGTTCAATCCTTATACTGGAAATTTCAATTGAAAGTTGGTACCTAATTGTCACAGAGAATATTTAATGGTGCCTTGAATAATTCCCTTGTCAAGATTGTTCTTGTTCAAATGTCACTACTTATAACTCTATATAGCATTAAGGCATAATATATTAACATGCCCTTATATATATATCATCATTCCAACCAGTGGGTATTGAAATTGTCTATTATAATAGTTACAAAGCATTCATAAGCATCCATACTACAGTTACAAAGCATTCACAAGTATTCAACATAAATCACCGCACCACTAACAACCCTTTCTTCGCGCCGCCGTGAGCACAGCAGACGTGACACGTGACTAAAAGCGTCACAGAAGACACCAGGAGAGGCAGAAAGGACCGAGGCGTTTCCCCAAGACTCCTGAAGGCAACGCCCCTGCCCCCGACGTCCTCACAGTCGTCACTCACCTCATCGAAGAAGTCCCCGGAGTAGGTGTCGGAGCCGGACGACTGGAACACGTACTGTTGAGAGCCCAGGAGGGACGCCCTCTCCTCCTGCTCCAGCCCCATCACCGGCAGGTTCCTGTAGAAGGGAATGCCGAGAGGGTTAGGGTTGCCGGCCACCCTGAACTCCTCCGTCGGGAGGGAGTGCCGGCGTCGACGGGTGTCCTCGAGGCTGGTGTCACTCCAGCCGTCGCTCATGGTGCCGGGTTCTCGATCAACGACACAGAATAAACTCTTCTCTCTCTCTCTCTCCTTCCCCCTCTCTCTATCTCTCTATATATATATATCGCGTCGCTCACACCGCGTCACCCACTGATCCACATCATCCGTCTCTTCTTATTCTTATTCCTCTCTCTCTCTCCTCCTTCCGCCAGCGCCCCACGCAGCACCGGCCGTCGCAACAGCACGAGTGGCCCCGCTCGCCCGGAACGCACGGGTGACCCCCCCCCTCCGTCTCCTCGTCACGGGGTCGTCGACGCGCCCCTCCTCGCCTCCCACGCCCTCAGCGCCAGGACAGACTGCCAGCGCCCCGAGTGAGCCCTCTCCTGCCAGCGTAGTGCGAGCGCCCGTCCGCCCACGACTTGAATGGGCGAGCACGAGGGTCCGCCGCTCGCCGGGTGCGGGAATAGGTGGGGCGGAGGGGGTGGGGGGTGTAAGGCGATCCGCGCGCGCGCTGTGTGTGTGTGTGTGTGTGTGTGTGTGTGTGTGTGTGTGTGTGTGTGTGTGTGTGTGTGTGTGTGTGTGTGTGTGTGCGTGTGCGTGCGTGCGTGCGAGTGTGCGTGTCTGTGCGCGTGTTTGTGTGCGTGTCTGTGAATGTTTGTGTGTCTGTATATCTGAGTGTGTTTTCGTGTGTCCGTTTGTGCGTCTGTGTGTATATCTGCGTGCGTTTACATCCGTCCGTGGATGCGTCCGTGCGTGCGAGTGCGTGGGAGGGCGTTATCCACCACGATCTATGATCTATCCTCTCGACCCCGCGACCGCCACCCGCCACCTGGCCTGACCCCCTCCAGCATATGTTGGCGGACGAAGCCGTGACGGAAGCCAAGGCGGTGCATGTTGTCGCTCGAAAACATGAATTGTTGGAGCACACCTGGACGATGAGGCGGCGTGACAGGAGGGAGGGAGGGAGGGAGGAGGGAGGGAAGGAGGGAGGAGGGGAGGGGAGGGAGGAGGGGGGAGGGAGGGACGGAGGGAGGGAGGGGAGGGAGGGAGGGAGGGAAGGGAAGGAAGGAGGGAAGGAGGGGAGGGGAGGGGAGGGGAGGGAGGGAAGGGGAGGGAGGGGAGGGGAGGGAAAGGGAGGGGGGGAAGGGAAGGGAGGGAGGGGAGGGGGAAAGGAGGGAGGGAGGGAAGGAAGGGAGGAGGAGAGAGGAGGAAGAAAGGGAGGGAGGGAGGGAAGAACTCACACATACATGCACTCACAAAGGGGAGAGAGAGAGGGGTGGGAGGGAGGGAGGAAGCGATACAGGAGGAAGGGAGGGAGGGGATGAGAGAAGGAGAGGAGAAAGAGAGAGAGAGAAGAGAGAGAGAAGGAGAGAGAGAGAGAGAGAGAGAGAAGGAGAGAGAGGAGAGAGAGAGAGAGGAGAGAGAGAGAGAGAGAAGAGAGAGACGAGAGAGAGAGAGAGAGAGAGAGAGAGAGAGAGAGAGAGAGAGAGAGAGAAGAGAAGAGAGAGAGAGAGAGAGAGAGAAGAGAGAGAACTGAGTGAGTGAACGAGTGAACGAATGAGTAAGTGAGCAACGAGTGAAACGAAATGAGTAAGTGAGAAGCGAGTGAACGAGTGAGTGAGTGAACGAACGAGTGAGTGAGCGAGTGAGTGAGTCTGGGAAGTAGCAGAAGTCACGCGGGTGAAGCAGCCTCTGTTATAATCCCTGCTTGGGGAGGAAGGGGTGAGGGAGGAGGGGGAGGGGAGGGGAGGGAAGGAGGGAATCACGTAACCGAAGAGGCCTCCTTCCCTCCCCTCCCCTCCCTCCCTCACCTGACCCCAGATAATATACTATTACCTGCCGCCTCTCCCTCCCTCTTCTCCTCTCTGTCTCTCGCTCTCTCCCGCCCACTAATATCGATTCTTCTCAGTCTTCCGCCATCTTGAGTCTCTCCTTCCCTCCCCCCCCACTTCCCCCACTCCCACAACCCCCACTACCCCCCCCCCCATCGTCTTGTGACTGGCGGTTCTTAGCCTCGCGCTGTAAACTTCAGTGAAAATAATCTATCGCCTGTCTATCTTTATCTTTAGTAATTATACCACGAAAACAAATTATTTAATATTAAGTTTGTTTTTGTTTAGTTTCTCTTTGTCTGTTTGTTTGTTTGTTAAAGCGGCTAGGATCTTATTATTTTACGTCGAGTTATGAAAGACTTAATCTGGACGAAGCAGCTAAAGTGAGCTTATAAGTATTACTAGAAAAAAAAAAAACAAGAAACCTAGTTTTTGTCCACTTACAGGCTATAAGCGTTGTGACAAAAGCAAAGATCAATAAAAAAAAAATACAATATGCAAATAATACTATTAATAAATCATTTTACTAAATTGGAAATATTTATGACAATCTGAACCGTTCTGTAGCATTCAAAGATACTTCTGAAAATTAAACACCAAGAAATCATTTTAAGTAGCAGTTGAGGATCATAATATAATTTTAAGTAACAGTTAAACGTCCAAGGATAATTTTAAGTAAATCAAAAACATAATTTTAAGTAGCAACCAAGCATTAACATTATATATTTCCACACATACACAGACACACACACACACACACACACACATACACACACACCACACACAAACACAAACACACACACACACACAAACACAACACACACACACAACACACAACACAACACAAACACACACACACACACACACACATACACACAACAACACAACACACACACACACACACACACAAACACAAACAACAAACACACACACACACACATTAATCAACCACTGTTCTTGAAGACTGAGCTGAGGAGAAACACCGGCAGCACTTCCTTGACAATCACTTCTCTCTTGATCGGACACAAATCTTATGACGGTATCAACTCACTGTCAATTATATTTTTTCTAGACAGTTTTACACTTAATACCTTAATCACATTAATATATCAAATTTATATTTCTTCGAGGCTGATATCTAATTAATGTGGATTGCAATAGCATCGGCAGAAAGTCAAAGAAATTGCTAGAATAAAGGCAGAACTTATGAAAAAATATTAAAACGAGAAGGTGAGGTTTCGGATACAGAAAAAAGGCATCAATTTTAGACCCAATAAATTTTCTTATATACAAATGCAGAAATAAAGGCATATATGTCTATATATCTGATATACCTATAACCATTTATCTGCCGGGTTGATATGCACGTCTAGACTGATAAATATGCATTTATCTCTTTATTTATGCTTAGGTACACGAATATTCTTTGGGTCGGGAAATTCTAACAAACCGGCCACGTGTGAGGAATTCGTGTTTTTTTTTTTTTTTTTTCGTTCTTGTGGCGAGTTAAGAACCTCCGACTCACTTGGTAATATTTCAATTTTTTTTGAATCACTGTCCCTGAGAAGAGAAAAAAAAAATGGAGTTTTGTATCTGGTTTTTCTTCCACTTTTTTTTCTTCTTCTTCCAGGTGTTACGGCAAATATTCAAGACTTTTCTTGAGTTATCTGAAATTGTGACTGATCCTATTACTAGACATTTATATATACTGAAAAAATATAACAAAACTAATATTATTTCAAAACTAACATGCCGAATTAATACCAATGATAAAGGAATATAACAAGTAGATATTTTTTTCTTCACGAGTGACGACAAATACTGAAGCCCTTTTACTCGACGTGACTGATGACTGGCAATAAACAAATATATACAGAAAAAAAAAACAATATATCAAAAATAACATACAATCAAACAATGCTACAGAAAAAAAATCAGAATGAGGAATAAAACGAACATAAATGACAACCAACGACAAAAGAATGAACGAAGAATCACTTCAAAAAAAACCCGTAGACCCAAAAAAAGAAAGAGAAAGAATGAAAAAAAAGACAACGAAATAAACACAAAGAGGAATATTGACCTGGGCGACTGAGGTAGGTCTACATTCGTGAAGAATCTGGCAAACATGGCGGTGACGTTCGCAAAGGTATTTACAATCCACGGGTTTCACGTCGACATCACGCAGCGAACACAGACGCGGGTTGACACACGTGCATAAGCGATTACATGCTCCGTTCCAGACGTCTGGAGCGCCACTAATAGTACACACAGGCGCGCATATGCTCAGAGTTACGCGATCT